CATTTCCAGCCATCCCCAAATGGTAGTTGTTGACGGGCCATGGCGTTAGATTTAACTAGGTAGTACCCTCTGGTAAAGTAACATAGCTATGGAAAATCACCATGTTTAATGGGAAAACTCACGATAAATGGCCATTTTCAATAGCTATGTTAGTTTACCCAGAGGGTAAATGGATGATTTCATTGGGACCTCAATCACTAACCAGGAACCGCGTTTTTCCCATGGCCCATCGAAGTAGTTGTCTATTCGATTCTATTCGTGCGTTTCCCACGTTGAACAACCAAAAACCGAGGCCTATCAATACCACGAGGTGCAGGTGGTGTGGATCGCCTGCGTTTTCCTGAGCTGCCTCAGCTCAGGCGCCATGGAGCTTAGTTGACGCACATAACTTGGTGAACGTTTGGGGTTTATATAGGGGGATATACTCTATAATAACTATAGGTTTATAAGCTGTTTATAAGAACTGTGGGTTTATAATAGCTAGGTCAATCTTGGATGAGTAGCTTAATCCTTTAGTATGTTGGTATCAATGCGATTATCTAAGATTGGCCATGATAACTGTATAATGGGTTTATAAACCAAAAAACACAACTGTGGTGCCTCAGTTCGTTAGCTAACTTGGTTTTACATGAGGCTAACTGTTGGATGAAGGGTGGACATGTCTACAGCGGGTAGAGCAAGTTAGCCGGTTTGCTTTGGGCTGACTTTTAGAGGGGCATGACCTGAGTCAGTAGCCCCCCAAAAGGATACTTCCTATCGATTCATCACTATTCTAGTAGGATTTTACTGTTCTATCTATTTGGGGATTTCTATGATCAAAAACTGTCAAGTTGACTGCTAGATCAATCAGCATTGCTCCATGGAAGGACTCAGTGATGAGCTTGGTAACCATCCTCAACCCTGAGTCCTTCAGCAAGATATCAGTGTGGCCACGCCAAAGGGGTTGCTGCAGGCGCACGTTTCTACTATCAGAGCGCGGTGCCAGAGTATGAGCCTCCAGGACTCTACAAGGGCTTCATGACACTCTGCGGAAAGGATTGTAGCCACTGAGATGTTCAGAGCGTGTTTTTTTGTTGGATTGATTTGGCTAGGAAACACCATTTCCACCGACAAGGGACATGAGAGTCATGAGAGTTTCCGCGTCTTTTAGGGGATCAACACACCAGCAAGTTTGTCCGCACCACCAATCGCTTCATCGATGTTTATCTTTCTTACTGAAGAGGTGGTATGTTTCACTGGCTTGGACAATCTACGGGAACCCATATGTGTTTCGCATCCCCGGGAACATGGTGGTGATCACCGTCCTATCACCCAAGGAATATGGCCCTTGCCTGGGCATTCGTGGTGCCAACCTATTGCTATGCGGCTGGCTATGTGAAATTCAGGTGAGGGTCGAGCCATGGGGAGCAAAGGAGCGGGGTATCCTCCCAACAAAAGCCAGGAGCCAGTTGAAGCTACGAATGGAGTTTAGCACATGATAGCAACTTATCATAACTTATCGTATTTTTTTAAATTTCAGATTTTAAGTTTCAGGACACGTTTGTCGGAGGGAAATATGACAGCATTTTTGTTTTCGTCATCATATGTGTCAAACCTTTTTCTTGTTTTCCCGAAGCGCCATTTATTTTGGATTTTTTGGCAACAAACAGATGATGCCACAAACCATGAGCAGTAGCTGCGTTCAAACAAAAATCTGTCGATGGTCGATGATTTGAAAAACAGGGGATTGTACGTCTAACAAATCTATACCTTTAATTCCATTAATCAAACGTGGCAATTAAGAATCCCCCATTTATAGATGATGTTCCCATCTATTATAAAGTTCCATTTAATTTACTTTGGGGATTTCCCAGCTAGTCACATTTGATGGCGCGGGAGGTACTCCCCCTCCTTTTACCGTAGCGCAAAAAAAAAATATTTTATTTTTTTTCTTCCACGTTAACTAAAGTGACAATTCGGAGGTTTACTTCCATGTTAGTTGCAATGGGGGGGGTAAACTGCAAATTTGTGTTCTTTGGATCTGAGCCCTTTTTTTTTTTGGCTAGTTCTTTTTGCCACGAGTTCCCCGGGAATCCTGGGCATTTGTTGATTAACGTAGAAATTTTGTTTTTTTCAAGATAAAGCTGGGAATGCCTCCATTTTTTAACAACCAACGATTGGAACGGATAACTTACACAGAAATTTGCTACTTGAAGTAGGATGTGGGCAGTGCCATGTTAGCGAGCGCTCGGTCCTCCTTTTACCGTAGTGCAAAAAAAAAAGCTTCCACGTTAACTAAAGTGACAATTCGGAGGTTTACTTCCATGTTAGTTGCAATGGGGGGGGTAAACTGCAAATTTGTGTTCTTTGGATCTGAGCCCTTTTTTTTTTGGCTAGTTGTTTTTGCCACGAGTTCCCCGGGAATCCTGGGCATTTGTTGATTAACGTAGAAATTTTGTTTTTTTCAAGATAAAGCTGGGAATGCCTCCATTTTTTAACAACCAACGATTGGAACGGATAACTTACATAGAAATTTGCTACTTGAAGTAGGATGTGGGCAGTGCCATGTTAGCGAGCGCTCGGTCCTCCTTTTACCGTAGTGCAAAAAAAATCTTCCACGTTAACTAAAGGTGTTTACTTCCATGTTAGTTGCAATGGGGGGGGTAAACTGCAAATTTGTGTTCTTTGGATCTGAGCCCTTTTTTTTTGGCTCTTTTTGCCACGAGTTCCCCGGGAATCCTGGGCATTTGTTGATTAACGTAGAAATTTTGATTTTTTCAAGATAAAGCTGGGAATGCCTCCATTTTTTAACAACCAACGATTGGAACGGATAACTTACATAGAAATTTGCTACTTTTTTAACAACCAACGATTGGAATGGATAACTTACATAGAAATTTGCTACTTGAAGTAGGATGTGGGCAGTGCCATGTTAGCGAGCGCTCGGTCCTCCTTTTACCGTAGTGCAAAAAAAAAATCTTCCACGTTAACTAAAGTGACAATTCGGAGGTTTACTTCCATGTTAGTTGCAATGGGGGGGCAAACTGCAAATTTGTGTTCTTTGGATCTGAGCCTTTTTTTTTTGGGGGCTAGTTCTTTTTGCCACGAGTTCCCCGGGAATCCTGGGCATTTGTTGATTAACGTAGAAATTTTGATTTTTTCAAGATAAAGCTGGGAATGCCTCCATTTTTTAACAACCAACGATTGGAACGGATAACTTACATAGAAATTTGCTACTTGAAGTCGGATGTGGGAAGTACCATGTTAGCGAGCACCAATTTGGCACCATTGATTTCGAAAGGTTGCATCCTCAATCGCTCGGACATGACAGGGGTGAGAAGATAGATGCAAAGAAGAAAAAACTGATGTGGCGGTCAGTCTGGGGGTTTTAGGGATCGCCCTAGAAGGATGTATTCAACATGAGGGGAGAACATGTTAACATAGAAGTTGCCAACCTGATGTCTGGACCCTCAAGTTACTTCCACGTAAGGGTTTTTAGTCTCATTTTTCACACTTCCATGATGAATATGTTACTGACATATCTGATGAGCTACTTCCATGTAAGAGATTCACGGTCAGTTTTTCTGCATTTGCTGGCCCGGTAGCCCAGTTTCACTTTTTCCCCAAGAATTGGACGTAAACGACTTCCATGTAAACCGACAGGTTTTTCCATCCTGACTTCCACGGTAAAAGGACCCGGTGTAATCACAATCAACGGAGAATTCCGATCTCACCAACTGAACCAACCAGTTGCAGGTGTACAAATGGGGTTTGTCTGAAAATCGCGCACCCAATATGTTTATCGCTGTCCAATTCGTTGATCACATTTGATCACCATTTTTCCTCTTGAATGGCCATGTAATTGTTTTTGTTGCAGCTTTTTCAACACAAATTGTGGATATCTCACGATTTTTTTGACACATGGAATTAGGCAAAATATATCAAACTAATGATTCCATCTTGTGAAGGACAAATTTCATATGTTTTGGACAGAGGCAATCTGATATCTTCTATTTTGGACGAACCATTTGGGGGCGATTTCGCCCGGCCCCCTTATCGATTTCGACATTGTCGCTGCGTGACAAAAGAGTACTTCGATCCGCCGAGGCCAATTGTGGGGAATCCCCATCATCTATGGTGTATGGTAGATATAATACATATATTCTGTAGTTGATGGGGCCAAGGCGTTATATAACTATGATGTGGGCAAGCCAATAATAAAAACCTACCATTTGGGGTTGGTTTGGTATTGGGTTTACCACATTAATTACTTAATATTAATCATATAACTGGCTGGAACATGTTTGAACCCCCCATGTAACTGGATATGTCTTGAAAACATAATATAACGACCTCATTGTGACGTCACTGGAATGATGGTATGGGGAATCATCCCCGATGGCCAGTTTCAGCTATTTTCAGGTTAGTGAATTCTATAGTCCAGTCATATGTATATATATATATACTATTATATATGACATTATCTATATATTATCTATATATTATCTATCTATTGTATAATCTTATATTATATTATATTAGATTATATTATATTATATTATGTTATTTTTGATTTCACTGTATCATATTATTATATTTTATGTATTCAATATATTCATTTTTTTATACATAGGGTTACATAGCAGAATTACAAAACACTCAAGTGATTCCACGGCCCAGCTAAATACCATTATTTGAAGAGGAGTATTCAGGATGGATAGGTATAGCAACCCCGACGTAGATAGATAAGTAGAATCCCCCCAGAGTAGTGGCAAATTTATTTTCTATTTTTGTGGGGTAATTCTAAAAAAATGATGTTATATATAAATAAATGGCTATGTCTAAAAAAGATGTGTCCCAAAACTGGTTTTAATAGTAAACATGATCAACCATGAATTTTCAGAGCGACCATATCTTTATGTCCAAAATATCAACAATCCAAATAGCGTAAAGCCACTACGGGCCCAACACCAACCCCGTCCCCACGGCCCTTTACCACGTTTGTGGTTCAAGCAGTTGTCCTGTGGGATGTGTGGACAACGTGTCAGCACACTGATTCGATCTTGAGGTGCACCCTCCGGTAGCGTGGCGTCTGGGGATCATGGGGTACCAGTGAGGCCCCCATGGTGACGATAGCGATATAAGTTGACGCACATCTAACTTGGTGAACTTAGTTAAATAACTATAGTTATAAGCCCAATTGTAGTTATATAACTATAGTTATATAATATTATATAAGTGGTTTATCTTCGGAGACCCAATGGGGCTGCTTCAAACAGGATGGCTTCAAGAGGGGGTGAGAGGTGAAAGAAATAAAACTATAGTTACATAATACATAATTGTGTCCTTACACTCAGAAGCATCTAGGAATTCCCCAAAACCTGGAAAATTCTGGCCTTTGCCAGTTTTTTCAACATGTTCTATCATTTTGTAGTTTTTTCTATCTTTCTCTAGTTGTTTTCTAGCTGAATCTGGTTTCTGCTGGTGCTGTTGTAGCCTTTTGGACGAATATGGTAGAAATGTGAAGGCTTCCGGGGCCTCACCTTGTGGGGCTGAACACTGATAGCGACGGAGGGGGTAGACGCTGCCTTGGTTTTTCTCTACCTGTGAATCCCTATGGATCCAGCCGTAATTTCTTAAGGAGTGGGACTGGGGTATGATTTGGGGGGTTAAGTACCTTCTCAGACAGTGTCTGGATCCATAGGGAATGATACTTCCTACCTCTGAATCCCACATGACATGACCGCCATCTGCGCCATCTACGGCGCCGAGTCCCTAGAAGCAAATCCAAGATGATCGTGATTTTGTTCTTACGACATCCCCTTAATGCTTATATGGATGCTTATATGCAGTTTGCTTTGTGTTTATGGTGTTTAGATGTATTTGCGTAAATATTTTTGGATGCATCAGTTGGTTCTATTGTTTTTGTTGAACCGCCGATTTTATGCCCCATGTGTATCCATTTGTGGTGATAAATACACTATATATTTATACATATATATACGTATATATATATATATACGATACATGTATAAGTGTGTATGCATATATATATACATACATACATATACATATATATATATATACACATCATCATGCATGAATTGATCTGGCTCTCAGGTATGCCTAGCTCTCCGCGGGGCAGCTTGGGGAATTTTTGAGAGCAGCTGTGAGTCCAATGAGATGACCATGCCATGTGAAGTGTATGTCTAATGCATGTAGTGTTTAGCATTTTATGTAGAACCATGTTGCTCGTGCTATAGCATTTATATATTTCCAGATTTTTGTTTGTGATGTGTATGTCTACAGTTATGGCCCCAAATACCAGTTCTAAGTACTGAAATAATCCCATTTATAGAATGTATAATCCCATAGAAATAATCAGTTATAACTAATAAATTGCCGTAACTGTATGTGTATGCATGTGTTTCATTGTGTTTCTAATATGTTCTTGGAAAGTGGTTGGGCTATGATTTGGGGTCTCAAGTACCTTCTCAGGAGTTGTTTCGATCCTATATATATATATATGTTGTGACACATTGTTGCTATTCTGGACATCAAGTACACACACATGAGTTGATTGGGATAGATTGGGAACAAATGCAGGAATGATGGTTTAGACACCATGTTATTCAACTTTTGGCATGCAAGCCTTTTTCTGCATATGAGTGTAATTCAGCATATTCCCATCCGCGTTCCCACCAGACTGAGCACAGCAATGCAAAAAGTTTCACGACTCATTGTGATCCATTTTTCACCCTCTGGCAATCACACATGGTTTGCTGGAAAATCCCCCAGCTATAGTTCGATGATTTTCCTAGAAGCCAGTTCTCTCCTAGTTTGCCATACTTTCCCATGTTCCCATTCGAACTTCAATTTTTGATGGGATTTCCCATTTTAATCAGCCATGTAATGTAGTTCGGGGACCTCCAAGCAGCCCGCCATGTTTGACGAAGGGTATGTTGGTACGTGAGGCCAAAGGTCTTGTTTGCAGATTGCCCAGACTTATCCAATGGATCAGGTTGGAACATCTCCTGCCTAATAGTTCGACATTGAAGTAACTACTAGGCAGGAAATTGGGTAACCTGATCTATTGGGTATGTAACACGGCATGTATTTCAAGTGCATCATGTACTGACGCTTGATATGTGTTTCAAGGGCCAAACCACGGCCCGTGCTCAGGCCAAACAGTGCTGTGCGCAGACCCAGCGCAGTTGCTATTATCCCAAAGCGACCCAAAGTGGTTATGTTTGATCTGGGGAAAGCCATGTTATTTTAGGGTTCCCCACTTTGGCGAAGCATCTACACAAGGTGCCCCAAATCCTTAGCTATGTTGGTTCAGAAGTATGTTATCGCAATACTTAACAATGATTTATGGTAGAAAATGGATGATAATGGTAGGTATATCTATAGTTAACATGGGGCGTATAGACCCAACACTCATGACGGTTGGGGGGGGCACCGCATTCGATGAGGAGTTCGCCAAATGGCTTCGGGTCATGGGGTACCCATGGGGAGGGGCTCAATATGTTAGACCCATATCCAAGTTATCCAATGTTCGCCGTTTTTGGAACATGGTGGCCGCCCCAAAAAAGTGAATAGTTTAAGAAATAGTGCCAATAATGGGTATATAAGCAAACATCATGTGGATAGACCATAATGCCATAACAATGAGTAAGAGTATGACACGACGATTTTGATGTCACATTGTTGGGTAATTTGTGTGCGTCAACATATATGTACCAGTGTGTGTAATACACACATTGACACACATGTGGGTACAAATAGGCATGATACAATATGTGTAATTAATTTGGGTGGCTAGGAAAGATACGTAATACCATGTGTCGCTTGGTGCGGCAAGCCTTGGGCTTCGGCCACTGTGCCTGCAGCGCGTATAGCGTGACCCACATGGCAGAGGTACTCCAGAATGAGCGATGTGCTCCACGTGTACTGTGGGTCCGGAATATTGCAACAAGTCCAGTGTATCAACCGCATATTGCGTTTCTCACTACCATTACCAATATATTACCCCCCATATATACGCCCTTCATTATGTGTGTGTGTATGTGTATATGTATATATAATTACATATACATATATATATATACATACATATACATATACATATACATATACATATACATACACATACACATACACATACACATACACATACACACACATACATACATACAGACATACATACAGACATACATACAGACATACATACAGACATACATACAGACATACAGGCATACATATACATATTCAGATACTTACATACATATGCATATTCAGATACTTACATATTTACATACATTACATACACTACATACATTACATACGTTACATACATTACATACACTATATACATACATTACATACATTACATATTTGCATTCATGCATCCATGCATGCATGCATACTTACATACTTACATACATTACATTACATACATACATACATGCATGCATGCATGCATACATACATGCATACACATACACATACACATACACATACATACATACACATACATACATACAGACATACATACAGACATACATACA